TCGCCGAGGCGGGGAAGGGTCTTCCTCCCTCCCTCCCGCGCCGCGCCCCCTCCCGCAGAGGGGCGCCTCCCTTTCCCCACCCCCCGCCCGCTGGCATCGCTCCGGGGGGGCGCGGTGGGGAGGGGTCTCCCCCCGGGGACCCCCGCCTCCTCCCCCCTCCTCCTCCTCCCCCCCCCATTGTTCCTGCGCGGGGCCGGGCCGAGGCGGCGGCGGCGACAGGCGAGGCGACTCACCGGGTCGGGGGCGGCGGGGCCGGGCCAGGCCGGGCTCTCGGGGCGGGGCGGACGAGGACCCGAAGCGGCGGCGGCGGCGAGGGCGGAGGAGGCGGCGCCATGTTCCTCCCTCCCTCCTCGCTCGCTCGCCCGCCCGCCCTTCCTGCCTCCCTTCACCCGGCCGCCGCGAGGGAGGAAGGGGGAGGCCGGGCGGCGGCAGAGGGCGGCGGGGAGAGGCGGCGGGGGAGGCCGAGGAGGCGCCCTCGCCTCACGCTGAGAAGAGGCGGCGGCGAAACCATCGACTGAGGGAGAAGCGACAGGGCGCGGGGCCGCGTGCGTCTCGAGCTGAGGGAGTGGGGGGGGGGAGAGCCGCGCGCTCTCCGAGACGCTAACGCGCACGCGCGCCCAAGCAGGCCGAGCCTTTGCGCAGGAGCCGCGGCTCGCGCCGCCGGCAGAGCCTGAGAGCGAGCGAGGGGGCGGGGCCGAGAAGGGGGGCGGGGCCGACGCTATGGGCCAAGCAGCAGCAGCAGGAGGAGGAGGAGGAGAAGGGGACGCGGGCGCGCCCCCGCAACGCAGCGCCGAGGGAGAGCAACGCGCCTGCGCAAGGGTAGCCCCGCCTCTCACGGTCCGCGCCGAGGGGGAGGCGGGGTGGCTATGCGGGGAGGGGGAGGGTGCGCGCACGGACGCGCGCGGTGAAGGGATGGGGGGGGAAAGAGAAAGAAGGATGCGCGCGCCGCCTGTCCGTGGCCCCGCGCGGGCCGGAGGGGCGAAGCCGGAGTCGGGAGCGCGGCGGTGGCGGTGCCGCGCTCGCTCGCTCGCTCCCGGGGCGGCTTCATTCTACCCAGGGGAAAGGAAGAGGGAAGGGGTGGTCCGCGAGAGGCGGGAGTCAGTCGGGACCGCCACCGCGCGACCCCCGTGGAGCGTCTGGTGGGCTCTCCCGGGAGAAAAAAGGGGCCTCTCTCGCCGCCGCTGCGCTTTTGTTCCGGGAGTGCCTCTTCCTGCCCCCCCCCCCCCGGGGCTGCTTTCAAGCCTTGGCTGCCTTTGGTGGGGTCTCTCCCTTGGGAGCCCGCCCTGAGCGAAGCCCCGGCTGCGGAGGAGGCTCCGAGGCTGGCGAAGGGCAAGGACTGTGGACTCCGAGCTTGGTGGTTTTCTTGCAGACGTTTCATGACCCAACGAGGGAACAGCATCAGGGTTGGAAGGGAGCGGGGTTGCTCTCTCATATACTTGTAGCCTGCCTTATACGTGTGGAGGGGGGGGATGTTTTTTTTTTCTTGGTAATTAAACGTAGCAATCCCTCTCTCTTTTAGCACTGATGATGTTACCTAGTTGGGTCATGAAATGTCTGCAAGAAAACTGCCCGGCTCAGAGAGCATCATAGTCCTCCTCCTTCTCCGTTGTCCAAGGTGCCAACTTGTGGGCAAATAGACACCCTCCTAGATAAAAACCTGGGCTGCACCCTCACCGGCACCGTTTTTATTTTCTATAAATTTCTCTAAAGCTTCAATGAGGCCCAGAGGCATTTTTTATGAATTAAGATAATGGAAGTGCTGCTTTGCTCTGCAGTGAACCAGCTTCTCGTTTCATATTTCATGTTAATTAAAAACCTTTGCAAAACAATTTCAGATAGAACAGGGAACCCGTCATACACAAATAGGAAGGCTGCATGATTGGTCCCTGCCTGATTTAGGCTGGAAATCTGTGTGTAATATTTGGGAGTGCCACCAAAACCAGACACCTGGCTTATATTTTATGGTAAACTGGTTTGCTTAAATCAGAATTGATTAAATAAACAATAACAACGGAGTTCATCCAGCGTGTTAAACCACAACCAATTTCACTTGCATATTATCTATGGGCTAGATCAGTCAATCAATCAGAATAGACCTGGAAGGGACCTTGGAGGTCTTTTAGTCCAACCCCCTGAACAAGCAGCAGACCCGGTGGTGAAATCCTGCCGGTTCTGCCCATCTCGCATGAACCAGTCGCGGTGACAGCACATGGTTCAGTGAACCAGTGATGGCAGTGTGAGGCTCCACCTATCATACATCATTGCTTTCTGGTTTTAACTAGGTTTTAACCAGAAAGTAACCCGTTTTTGACCTGTGCATGCACAGGCTTTGCATATGCGCAGAGAGTCAACAAGTGGATCTGATGATGGTGCGTGCGTGCACTTCTAAACCAGTAGGGAAGGTAAGTAGATTTCACCTCTGAGCAGAGCCTATACCATATCAGACAGGTCTCTTCTTAAAGACCTCCAGTGATGGAGCAGCTTCTGATGGCAAGCTTTTCCACTGGTTGATTGTTCTCACTATTAGGAAGTTTCTCCTTAATTCCAGGTTGCTTCTCTCCTTGAATAGTTTCCATCCATTGTTTCTTGCCTGCCTTCTGGAGTTTTGGAAAATAGGTTGACCCCCTCTTCTCTAGGGCAGCCCCTCAAATACTGAAATACTGCTATCATGTCACGAATGAAGGCAAATATACATATCCCAGGATAATGTTGCAAGATTCAATCTGGGTCAGACACCAGGACCAGGGGTTTATTTTTCCGAGCTTTGGGACTCGTGCCGGAGCCCATCTTCAGGGATCTTCTCTCCTCTAGAATATGTTAGTTGATAAACTCATAATTCACCCATATTCCAGTAGAGAGAAATTCCCAAACCTCTTGTCCCAATGACTAACCCAGATTGGATCTTGCAGTTTGGGCACAGTTGTGAGATTAAGGACTACTTGTATTTGAAAAAAAAGGGGTGGGGGAGCGCGAGGAAGACCTACAGACATGTTTTCCACAGCAGGAAAAAAGCAGCCAAAAAGATTGACGACTTTTCAGCCAAAGTCCATGGTTTTGGGGGTGACCTTTTGGGATTCAAATCAATATTTCTTATCCTGACTCACAGACAGCTGGATTGAAAAGCTGCCTTGTCACAACCCTGAGCTTTGCCCAGAAATCTTTAAAATAAACAAACAAAACAAATATGGTTGTCCCCATGGGCATTCTAGGGAGGGCAAGTGACATTCCAGATGGCATAGAGTTGTTGTTGGCACCCCAGCCTCTCTTTCCTGCTGTCCTCCAAAAGAGATGGGACTTCAGCTCTGGAATGGGATTTAACACATCTGGACAGACCTTTGTAGGTCCTTCCTTGGTCTTTTTAATGGCAGATGATGAGGACTTTGTGTCCTGCCATGAAGTGTGCTCTCTTCCAAACTCATTTCATAACAGGGCCCGAAATCACCCAGAATTCCCCAGGTAATGCCAAGAATCACAATCTTAGCAAAGTGGTCATGATGCCCACTCCCATGCACCTAGCTTGCTACATAAGGCTGTAACCACAACATTTCAGGAAGCTGCACTCCATGTTTCTCAGAATGCTTAATTCAGGCAGTCCTCAATTTACGACCATTTGCTTAAGTGTCAGCAACTGGCCTACGTTTACAGCCATTTACAGTATCCTGTGTTCACATGACCCCGTTCTACAATGGTTTTGCTGGAAACCGACACTCATTTCCAGTTTACAGCAAAACTGGCTCATTGATTTGTTTAATGACTGCTGCAAAAAAATAATAATCGTAGAATTGGATCAGTCTGGTAGACATAAGCCAAGGGCTACTTGTGATTAAAATATTAATTACAAGACAAAGTAATGTAGGTATATAGGTTGTTCCTTCCTGATGTTTTGCAAATGTGCCCTCTAATGAAGGGAAGGAAGGAATTGTTGGATGGTGCCCAGAAGCAACTACAGATAATCCTTAATTTACGTCCACAATGGAGACCAAAATCCCCATTGCTAAGCAGGACAGTTGTTAAGTGTGTTTTGCCCCATTTTACGACTTTATTTGCTAATAAAGTTGTTAAGTGGATCCCTGTAAAGGTAGTGAATCACTGCAGAGATTAAGTTAGTAATGTCGTTGTTAAGTGAATCCGGCTTCCCCATTGACTTTGCTTGTCAGAAGGCCGCAAAAGGGGATCAAATGACTCCAGGACACTGCAACCGTCATAAATACCTGTCAATGGCCAAGTGTCCGATTCTTTATTACGTGATCATGAGGATGCTTCAATGGTCGCAAGTGTGAAAAATGGTCCTAAGTCACTTTTTTCTTTTTCTTATTAATATATTCTAAGTCACTTTTTTCAGTGCCGTTGTAACTTTGAACGGTCACTAAACAAGCAGTTGTAAATGGAGGACTACCTGTAGTACACAATACCAGGAGTGTACATTCAAATAGAAGTAATAATTAGTTGAAGCCCTGGGGATCCAAATTTTCCTTCTTGAGGCTGACAAAGAAACACCCTTTGCGGCAGGAGATGCTCAACAACTGTCCTCCATTATTTGAGATTATTATTATTATTATTATTTTGTTCTTTTGTATGGGGTGTTAAAAGTTGATGAAGTTCTCAAGCTAGAAGTCCATCAGGGTGACATGTCTCCTATTCCCTCTAGACCACAGCACCCTCATGCGTTAGGGCGCAGAAACCTTGGGCCTACAAGGCCCGACTGAGCCTGGGGCTAAAGTTCAGGCCGGGCAGCGCCTGGGACATCACTGGCTCAGCTTCCTTCTGCCACACGAGCCCCCGGCTTCGTTCGAACATCGCGGAACTCGAGCTCCCCCTATTGGAGACAACCGGCACATTTCCCCACCCCGCCCCCAAAACCAAAGAAATTACAGCTCCCAGCATGCAGCGCAGCCATGGCGTGGCCCGCCCGCCCGGGAAAACAACCCTATAGGCTCCTTGCTGGCGCAAAGCCTGACGGGACTTGCTCCATTCCTTAGGCGCTCTTCCGGTTCCTTCCCTCCTTTAGACTACAACTCCCGACGGGCTGAGCGCCTGGCAGCCGCCCTGTCGGATATCCCGGAGGAAGGCAGAATAGAGTCGGGGGGCCAAAGAAGCTTCCCGGGGGCTCTGCGGGCAGCAGCAGCAGGAGGAGGAGGGGGACTCGGGAGCCATCATGGTAAGGAGGGGCGGGGGTCTCTTTAAAGGAGGCGGGGGGGCTGTCAGGTGAGGGGGAGAAACCTGGGGGGGGTCCTGATAAACCCTAATAATGACATTATTTCGGTCGGGGGGGGCGAGTAGAGGGTCTCAGCGTGGCCATAAGCCGCCCCCAGGCCAGGCCATATTTCTAGGGGCCACCCAACCGTAGCTGCCCCAATCCCCCCCCCTTCTCTGCGCTTCCCCCCCCACACACACTTTCCAGCAGCCAAAATATTAAATATTCTTCCCCTTTATCACAAAATCTGTCAACCAGCAGAGACTGGTTGAAAATCTGGGGGGGGGATCCCTGGGGTAAATGAGGCTCAGAAGGGGGTCAGGGGCAAAACAAAAAAACAAAAAACCCCTCCTGTCCTGGATCTGTACAACAACCCTGTAAGGTAGGCTAATGGTATTTTGCTAGGGATGTTGCCCCCACCCCCCACAGCTCCTCTCATCCCCAGCCAACGTGATAAAAAAAAAAGAGGAGAAGCATTGAAATCCAACCTACAGGAAGTCCTCGACTTATGACCACAACGCGGCCCAAATTTCCGTGGTTAAACAAGACTGTTGTTCAGCGAGTCTTGTCCCGTTTTACGACTTTTCTTGACCGGGTTGTTAAGTGAAATCACTGCAGTTGATAAGTTAGTAACCTGGCCGTTAAGTGAATCTGGCTTCCCCGTTGAGTTTTGCTTGTCAGAAGGTCGCAAAAGGGGATCACGTGACACTGTCGCCGTCATAAATACGGGTCAGTTGCCAATCACGTGACCATGGGGATGCTGTGACAATTGTTAAGTGTGAAAATCGTAAGACATTTTTCAGGGCTGCTGTAACTTTGAACGGTCACTAAATGAATTGTCATAAGTCGAGGACTACCTATATTGTGAAAATTCCCTTGATCTCACACACACACAAACCCCCCCCCCTTTTTTTTTTTAAATTTGGCAAACAAGCCGTTGCTGTTCTACTCTCTTGCAATGCGGACTCTTTCCTGATTAACCGGGACATAAAACTGCTTGTATTATTCCTGGAATTAAAGAAAAAAAAACCCGTTTCTTTTATGGTGGTGTAAGAGATCACAAACCGTTGGCCTTTTTGCTCTTTGTGCTGGGCTGGCTTTCTTGTTTAGGGTGGGTCACTTCCCTATCTTAGCTCCACACTTGCAAAGTAGAGCTAAGCAAAAAAACGGGGTCAGGCTAGCAACGTTTTTGCAGCCCTTTGGGAAAAAATGCCCCCTTCTCCAGTGTACAATTCAAACAGCAAAAGATGCCAAAAGGAAGCAGGCAGTAATTAGATCTGCTAAATGGAGACCAAAGAGGAAACAAACCGTTTTGTAGGCAGGCTCCTGATCTTAGTGTTAAATTTATGTTCTTACCGACAAAAGAAAGAAAGGGAGAGTAGATAGATCTATTTCAAGCTATTTAGCTCTCATCAGCTAGCCATACCCTATAGATCAGCAACTTTAAGACTTGTGGACTTCAACTCCAGAGTTCCTCAGCCAGCAAAGCTGGCTGAGGAATTCTGGGAGTTGAAGGTCCACAAGTCTTAAAGTTGCCAAGGTTGGAGACCCCTGCTTTAGATGAGAGCTAAATAGCTTGAAATAGATCTATACTACTCTCCCTTTCTTTCTTTTGTCGGTAAGAACATAAATTTAACACAAAAATGGTTTTGTTGCAAAAGCGACTGTCTGTGAAGGCTCCTGGATTGAGGCTGAAAGGCGAAAACGGAAGCAGTATTCCCCATCCCATATTTGGATAGACCAGGTTGCCCTGATAGACTGCTCCCACCGGAGAAAAAAATGATGTGAGCTAGACTAGGATCCCGGTACCACAGGAGTTCTGAGCTTCTCACTGCTTGCAGCTGAATGGTGTTTGGATTCTGGACATGTTTCTTGGTCCTCTTTTACAGATCCGCTTTATCCTGATTCAGAACCGGGCTGGCAAAACCCGCCTGGCCAAGTGGTACATGCAGTTTGACGATGACGAGAAGCAAAAGCTGATTGAGGAAGTGCATGCCGTGGTTACCGTCCGAGATGCCAAGCACACTAATTTTGTGGAGGTAGTACCTTTTTTTCGGCCTTATTTACGAGATTTTTATCCTGGCTTCATTGTTTTTCCAAATAACTCAAGGCAATGAATATACATAATAATCCTTCCTCCTCCTGTTTTCCCCACAACAACAGTCCTGTGAGGTGGGTTGGGCTGAGAGAGAGAATGACCTGCCCAAAGTCACCCAGCTGGCTTTCATGCTTAAGATGGAACTAGAACTCACCTCTCCTTCTGATTGACCAAAATCACCCAGCTGGCATAGCCGGTGAGGAATTCTGGGAGTTGAAGTCCATAAGTCTTAAAAGTTGCCGAGGTTGGAGACCCCTGCTTTAGAAGACCCTCATCAAGCCAGCAGACACTTGTAGACACCATGCCCTCCACCATGACAAAATGTCATCCCGAATTGTGAGTGGGGTGAAAATCCAACCCTCCAACACATAGTGACAAAGTGTCAAAATGGAGCCTGCAATGGAGATTTATTTCACTGATTTCCAGCTGTGATAAATGAAGTAATATACATACATACATATAACATACATACATACATACATACATACATATAAAATTTATATTTTGCTGATAAAGAAATAAAGGGAGACTAGTATAGATCTATTTCAAGCTTTTTAGCTTTCATCAGCTAGCCAAAGCCTTACTTGGATTCGAACTTGGGCTGCCTGCACATTAGGCAGTTGAATTAACCTTTCACTCTCCTCCCTTCATCAGCTTGAGCCAGGGGAGAGATTAATTGAAAGGCAAAAGGGAGCAAAATGCCCCCTCCCACATGTTGGGGTAGACCAGATGTCTCAGTAAACACTAATTATATCTATATATACATACATACATACATACATACATACATACATACATACATATTTATATATATATATATATATTGACAACTTAGACACAGATTTTTAATCTTCCTGTTAAGATTTCGATATTCTATATGTTGAATTTTACCCCTGTGCTCCTTTTTCACTGAAATATGAAATATTTGAGCCAAGGTGGCGCAGTGGTTAGAGTGCAGCACTGCAGGTAGCTGACTGCTAGTTGCAGTTCGGCAGTTCAAATCTCACCAGGCTCAAGGTTGACTCAGCCTTCCATCCTTCCGAGGTGGGTCAAAGGAGGACCCAGATTGTTGGGGCCAGAGGCTGACTCTCGGTAAACGGCTTAGAGAGGGCTGCAAAAGCCCTGTGAAGCGGTATATAAGTCTAAGGGCTATGGCTATTGCTATATGATCAATAAAAGCCAGCAGGCAGAAGGACAGGAGTCTCTTAAGGCTGGTGAAACTTTGCATGTGAGCCCTTTGACCAAAAGGCTGATTATGTACAGATGTTTTTTCTCCATTGAGAAGAGGATCATGGTCTGATGGTGGAAACCACCAGATGAGGCCAAGCCTTGCCCCATCCTTGACCAGCATTGTTCTGCTTCTAACAGACACCAATGTTTGTTTCCCCCCCCCCCCCGATGGTGGTTTGGTTTCCTTTCTCCAGTTCCGAAACTTCAAGATCATCTACCGACGTTACGCGGGGCTGTACTTCTGCATTTGTGTGGACGTGAACGACAACAATTTAGCTTACCTTGAGGCCATTCACAACTTTGTGGAGGTGAGTGTGGGCCTGTCCAGCTGCAAAGCAGGCCCTTCCCCCTTGCAGCCCCGTGAACATTTTTCTTGGCTTTGAAGCTGTATCTGAAATTCCTTCCTTCCGGATAAATGGACATAAGAATAACACAGGCAGTCCTCAAATTACAACAGTTTGTTTAGTGACCATTCAAAAGTTACAAATAAAACAGGCTCAACGTGTATCTGATAGCTCTCACAAGAACAGCATGTGCTCTCCCTGCCAACAGCATATGCGGCAAGGTGTTCTTGGCCACTGGGGTTGCATCTCACTTCCCCCCCATTTCTTGCGCAGGGCTGAGGTACCCCCTTCAGCCTCCCTCTTCTCTCTCCTCAGGTTTTGAACGAGTATTTTCACAACGTCTGCGAGCTAGACCTGGTCTTCAACTTCTACAAGGTGGGAGCTCAAAACTTAACTCGTTTTTCAGGCAACCGTTTTGTGTCAGACCTGCCCCAATCTGATCCCTTAGGAAAGAAAAACCCTCGACTCCCATTTGGTTAAAGCAAAGAGTTCTTTTACTAAGGATGTTGGTTGCAGTAAAGTCAAGCCAGCTCTGAAATCTATCGCGCTTGGTGGATACAAAAATAAGGTGTAGGTTTGCCCCCCAGCCCATCCCTTCTTCTCCCCCCACAACCAGTCCGTTTCCAGAGCTCACCAAGATGTTTTGAAAACTGACTCATATTTATGACGATGGCGTGTCCTAGGGTCACGTGATCCCCTTTGCAACCTTTTAACAAGCGAAGTCAAGAGGAAAGCCAGATTCACTTAATAATCTTGTTACTAATTTAACCCCTGCAGTGATTCACTTAACAACAGTGGAAAGCAAGGTCGTAAAATGGGGTAAAACTGAACAACTGTCTCAATTATTAGCATAGAATTTGGGGGCTCGCTTGTGGTTGTAAGTGGAGGACTACCTCTATCCCAGAGGGCGGGGGCCACAGCAGGAAAGGCTCTTCTGGACTCCCCAGCTGAAATTCTTCAGCAAACAGGATGCGAGATAGACCCGTTATTTATCAGATTTGTTTATTTGCCCTTCATCTCGTGATTCAAGGCCGCTTGGCTGGAGCAGCGAGTGGGACGGACTCCTGGTAGGCTGCTCTGAGGCCGGCGGCCGTCCTCGGTGGGCTCTTCCGCGTAGGAGCCTTTGCCCCCTCCCCATTTCAGCATCCCCCTCTGCTCCTTTGCAGGTTTACACGGTGGTGGACGAGATGTTCCTCGCTGGGGAAATCCGGGAAACCAGCCAGACGAAGGTGTTGAAGCAGCTCCTGATGCTGCAGTCGTTGGAATGATTTTGGGGGGGGGTCTCATCCGCCACCTCATTGGGGTCCTTTTCTTCCTCTGACCCTGCCGCTTCCTGCCAGCCCCACCTCTCCTCCTCTCCAGTGCCCCGAATCACAGACTTGCTCGCCCCATAACCCAGAGCTGAAGGCTGGCAGGGAGCAAGCATTTGGGGAAGGGGTGTTTCTTCTGTTGTTCCCCCTCCCTGCCTGGAAAGTGGGGTGCCTGTGGAAGAGGGAGAGCTGGCAAGTTAGGGCTGGGTCGCCTCTTTGGTCAAAAGGGGAGGGGGATTTGAAGAGAAGAAAGCTCCTATCCTTCCCTCCCTCCCTCTCTCCCACCCACCCACTCATTCTTGCCAGTTGATCTCCCACTGCTCTCCACTCTCCGTGTGGCTGGTCTGCTGCCCCTTCCCCATCTGGCCATCCATGTCAATATGTTGTGCTGCATCTGCAGAAGAGGGACCATGTCTCTGTGCATGTGTGAGTGTGTGTGTGTGTGTGTGTGAGTACAGGCACCTGTAACAAGTGGATTTGAGCGATTCAACTGCCAGTAAAGTGATGTCTCGAAATAAACCATCCAACACTGAAAAAAGAGAAGTCACTCATTTAAATCCTGGCCTGTTTCTGGAGGAACCCCCTCCCCAGCCCGTGTTTACCTTGATTAATCGAACAAATCCAATTAATCATTCATTTCGGTGTATTGTATGTGCCAGAACAAGAACTGCTACTAGACAAAAGGGAGCACCAAGTTGCCCTTTACCAAAATTTATGAACCCATTCTGAAAAATATGGCAGTCTGCTACTCTGTGCGTGCCTCTTTCCTCTTGCTGAACCCTAAAAGGGGACAAATAAACCAGGTTTCATCACCCTTTCCATGTTAATTAGTCCAATGCAGAGTTTCTCAACCTAAATTAAATTTAATAAGGAAACAAATGAACAAAACGTCAGGAAATTTTAAGCTGTGTGGGCTTCAGCTCCCAGAATTCTTCCAATAGCATGTTTGAGGATGTGTGAACTTCAACTCCCAGAATTCCCCAACCAGCATGAGGCAAGCTGACTGGGGAATTCTGGGAGTTGAAGAACTGAAGAAGCTTCTCGGATGTGAAGCGAAACATCTTCAAGAAAAAAAATATCAGTTGTTATTTGTCCCAGATTGGATCTTGCAACATTATCCTGGGACACGTATTGTTACACAGACCCAACTGGTTTCTTAGCTTAATAAATTCAATAAAAATATTAAATTTAATTCAATAAAAATATCAAATTTATTTGCCACCCATCTCCCTGTCATGCAGCTTACAGTCTGGGAAAACAATATTATAAAAGATGAAAATAAGAGAAGAAATGTATTTTAAAGATCAAAAGGGAATTAGAGGGGCCAAACCCTGATCAGTTCACCATGGTTAGGTGGGCCATGCAGACACCTTTCAAGCTGTTTGGCTTTCTCCTGGCAAGACATTGTTCTTTTCCTAGAGCCAATAAATAAAATTTATTCAAAAGCCCTAAATAAAATTAAACTTCTCCCTCAGCAGCAGATGCCTCGGCATGCCACCTTAGGAGGAACCTGCTACTCTTCTATTGTTCCTCATAATATAATATTGTGTGCCACAGACCAGGAAGGTGTGTCCCATCTTTGCAAGCAAATCCAGCAATTGTAGAACTGTTCCGAGGTTGGAATGATCCGACTTTTACCTCTATGAAAGGTATTTTTCATCAGGAGGCTCCACTTGGCTGTAAAGTGCCTACCTGGGACGGCAAATTGCTTTCCGTGTTACCTCTGCAGTAGTAAGGAAGGTGGCTAAACCTAAGATGCCCTCTGGCTATCAGCCAGCTCCGTTCTTCTACCTGGCGACCGGCCACCAGGTTTGCTCAGGTGGAGGATTGTTGGCCACCAGGGGGCGCTCTTTAATTCTTTGCCTACCCTACCTGGAGCTGGAGGTATTTCAGCCTGTTTCACGCATCCCATCCAATCCCCACAATTTGAACAAGCCAAGATGGTCTAGACTAGGTTTAAGTTCAAGGCTGTTAGAAACAGTACGAGGTTGCAGGCGGAACTACTCGAGACAATAACTTGGAAGCAGGAAAGAATGTATTCACGTGTTTGCAAAGCTTTTTATCCTCCTTTACACAAGTTTGCTCCCCCCTTCGACACAGCATCCTATCAAAGACATCTACCTTGTATGGTACCTGCTTCCCCCCAAAAGCCCCCTCACCTGGGCCATGTCACCAGTTTAACCATAACCTAGTTTTTGCTAGCCTAAGCTCTATTTTTAATCTTCGTGTTTCCTCTACCCTGACATTTAGCTGTTAGCTGCTTACCTAGTGTCGAAACAGCTTATAATTTTCCATTTAGTGCGTATGTTAAGCATTTACTTTAGAAACGATAACAGTTCCATTTTTTTTAATAAATGACAGGGCCAAGCAAAGGTGCATTTCCTCTTGGTTTGATGCATTATTTATTTTATTCATTCAATTTTTATCCTGCCGTTATTACTTTCTAAGTTTTATGAGTAGCACAAGGCAGCAAGATTTGCATAACATTCCTTCCTCCTCCTGTTTTCCCCATAACAACAATTTTGTAAGGTGGTTTTGCATTGAGAGAGAGGCCCAAAGTCACCCAGCTGGCTTTCCTGGCTAAGGTGGGACTAGAACTCATGGTCTCCTGGTGATTGGTCCAATATCACCCAGCTGGCTTTCATATTTACGGTGGGACTAGAACTTGCCGTCTCCTGACTGGGGAATTCTGGGAACTGAAGTCCATACATCTTAAAGTCACTGAGATTGAGTGATGCTGTTGTCAAGGCAGTGGGCCAAACACTCTGCAGGGCAACGAATTTGGGAAATGATCAGGGGAAGCCCCCAGCAAAGTCCCTTCCCGTCTTTCGCTCATCAGCAGGGGGAAATACCCAATTTAAAGAACCAGTCACAGCTGCCGTGCGTATAAATATCTTCATATACAGCACTGTTATTCTCTGTGGAGGAAATGGGCAGTTTTAAAATATAAATAGATGAGAGAGAGAGGGAGGGAGGGAGAGAGAATACAGATAGATGACACAGGAAAAGAGATAAATTATTGATAAATAGATAACGTAGAAACAGATGAGAGAGATGGAAAATTGGTGATAGACCTAGATGATAGCTAACAGAATATTGGTAGAGAAACATGATGCAGACAGATAGATATGCATAGGTAGCTCTTGTTCAGCCTTGTCTGGGATCTAGTCTGTTTTTTCCAAGCACCTCTTTTTAAAAAGCTCCCTGCATGTCTAGGGAAGATTCCCCCAAGGATGCCGCTAACAAGGGAGGGAGGGACAGCCTGCACTGCCCCCTTTAATCCTGGCTTCTTGGCAAGGTCCACTTCCAGGTAACAATGTTTGTTGATCAGCCGGTTCTACCTGAAAACAGACGCGGCCTTTTATTGGCAAAGCAAACCCAGCGATGAGGTGGGAGAACAGGCCAGGATCTCGAGTGCATCCGCCAAGCAACGGGACAGCCTTTCCTAACTCCCCGATGCTGGAAATGGAACCACTCTTTGAAATCGTGCAGCCTGTGAAACCGTGGCACTTCAACCCACAACTGCCTGGGGTTGCAGGTTTGCTTCGCCGCCCGCACCAGTTTACACAACTTGCCAAGCAGAACGCAAACCACCAGCCGTCCTGGGCTCTGGATCGCGAAGCTCTGTTTTGTATACGCCTGCAACGTTGCAGGCAACCTGTTGGTGTGGTTGCCCAGCCTTTGCAAACCCCCTGATGGCACCCAAAGCCCCCGTCCCGAAGGCAGGACAAGAAGCAACGGGTGGAAACGAATCGAGGGGAGAAGCAACCTGGAACTAAGGAGGAATCTCCTGACAGGGAGAACAATCAACCAGTGGAAGTTTTTAAGAAGAGATTGGAAGTCGTGGGTGCTCCCAACACTGGAGGTTTCCCAAAAGAGATTGGACAAACATTTGTCTGAAATGGCATAGGGTCTCCTGCTTGAGCAGGAGGTTGGACTAGTACCGGGGTCAGCAACCTGCGGCTCTGGAGCCGCATGTGGCTCTTTCATCCCGCTGCTGCGGCTCCCTGTAGCTCAAAATTTAATTTAATTTAATTTAATTTATCGCATTTCTATGCCGCCCAACTCCCGAGGGACTCTGGGCGGCTTACAGCAAAAATAATGCAAACATAGAAAAATGATTTTAAAACATTTTAAAAACATTAAAAGCCCATGCACACCATTCATGGCCGGATCTCGCAAGATTGCAACAGCGAGATCAACGGCCCCAGGCCTGCCGGAAAAGCCAGGTCTTCTCCGCTTTTCGGAAGGCCAATAGGGTGGGGATGGTCCGGACCTCAGGAGGTAACTGGTTCCAGAGAGCCGGGGCAGCCACAGAGAAGACCCTCCCCCGCGGGCCCACCAGCCGGCATTGTTTAGCGGACGGGACCCGGAGGAGACCAACTCTGGGATCTTACCAGTCTCTGGGAGCTATGTGGCAGACGGCGGTCTCAAAGATAACCTGGCCCTGAGCGATGTAGGGCTTTAAAGGTAATAACCAACACCTTGAATTGTGACCGGAGACCAATAGGGAGCCAGTGCAGCTCGCGGAGAATTGGTGTAATGTGGGTGTATCTAGGTGCACCCACAACAGCTCGCACAGCTGCATTCTGGACCAACTGTAGTTGGCTATGCATCACAACTGCCAATGTGCAACACTGACCGACACAATTTATTAAGCTTTTCGACCCCCAGTAGGCCAACCATGGATAAATCCAAGAAACGAAAAGTTTCAGAAGAAAACAGAATATTTAATTCAACTACATATGCTAGTTTTTGTGGCCGCTCAGGAAATAGTCAGGCCCAGGAAGGGTTTTGTGGCTCCCGGTGTTTTCTTTTCTGTGGGAAATAGATCCAAATGGCTCTCTGAGGGTTTAAGGTTGCTGACCCCTCGACTAGTAGATCTCTGAGGTCCTTCCAACTCTGTTATTTTAGAATTAAGGAGAAATTTCCCGACAGAATAATTAAGAGCTTGTCTCCAGGAGTTGCAGGTGCTCCCATCACTGGAAGTTTTCAAGAAGAGACTGGGCTTCCACTTGTTCGGAATGGTGTAAGGTGGCCTGCTTTGAGCAGGGGGCTGGACTAGAAGATCTCTCAGCTCCCTTCCAGCCCTACAATTCTGTGTTCTGCTTTAGGGCCACGATTTCGGCAGGCTGGTGATGCAAGGAGGGAGGACTCTGTCGTGGCCCTGAGCAAGCACCCCTCCCAGTTCCTCGCCTGGCTGATGCAACCACAGAGAAAAATAACGGCAGCCGCAGCGGAAGAGAAAAGGGAAACCCTCATCTGCACCTGGGCAATCTTGAAAAAGAGGAGAGAGGCGTTTTGTTGGGCTCCCCTAACCATCGGCCATAACCGGGCATGCTAAGGGGGCATGGCTAAGAAACAGCGTCCATGGAGGCGCGGGATCTGTGCGTTGAATAAGCGTTCATTCCTTGAGAAGGGAAGATTGGCAGCTGCTCTGGGCATGGGAGCTAAAATGTGCCCACTTCCTTTGCCCCTCCTGGGAGCACCCCAAAGGAAAAATGTGGGTTTGGGAGATCTTTTTCTTGGCAGGGGGGAAGAAC